CCCCAAAACCCCAAAACCCCAAAACCCCAAAACCCCGAGAGATATCTATTTGATAAATTGAAGATTAAGAGAATTAAAATATAGAAAATCACCTAACTTGAATATAGAAATGAAATAAGTTGGGCCGTATAAATTTACTAAAAGAATAGGTAAGGGGCATTATGCCTCTGTGTTCAAGGCTATAAATCATGAAAATGACCAAATAGTAGCAGTCAAGTGTCTTTAGAGACATGGGATCAGTGCTAACTAAATTAAAAACATAGAGAATGAAGTGCTTGTTTTATAAAAGTCTAACCATCCTAGTATCGTATCGATGTTAGACAGAATGCGTTCTAAATCTTAATTCTACTTAGTACTTGAATATTGTAATGGGGGTGACCTGTCTTCATTTGTATAGATTGTTGGAAAACTCCCAGAAGATATTTGTAGGCTTATAATCATGCAAATCATCGAAGGCATGATGCACCTGCATAGTTTACACGTGCTTCACAGGGATCTCAAATTGGCTAATGTATTATTGCATTTTCCTGACATGGAAGGTAGAGAAGATATGATAAATAATGATTGGCTTAGAAAAGTGGATTTAAAGGCGACCAACTTCCAAATTAAAATAGCTGATTTAGGATTCTCTAAAATTCAGTAAGATCCTGATGATTTAAGCGTCACATACTGTGGCACCCCGATCAATATGGCTCCAGAAGTATTGAATAGAGGAGTTTATAACTATAAAGCAGATGTATGGTCCTTAGGGACCATCCTATTTGAATTATTAACTGGAAAATCACCTTTTAAGGCTGCATAAAATAAAGAAGAGTTAAAAAAGTGTCACAGGAATGTTGTAATTTCTAATCCTAAGGATTTGCTATTTTCAAAAGAGTGTCTAAGATTTATCAATCTCTGCCTAACTTATAACTAGTATAAACGTCCAAGTTGGCGTGAACTTTTAGATCACAATTTTATCAGACTCCCAAAATAATAGTAATCAGATAAAATGTTCTCCTTAGATTAAATCTTGCCAATAGAAAACTTAATGCATAAGCATATGAAAATAAAAGAGATAAAAAATGCATCAGACACTATTCCAGTAAATAGTAATCCATTTTTTGATTAATAAGAAGAAAATATAAACGAAATCATTAATGATTAAAAAACTGATTACAAGCATCTCAAATATTCATCAGCTCATAAGAATCCGTTTAATGATCATATGAAGAGCCAATAAAATTATCCTATAGATCAGACGATTGGTAAAAGTAGGCTTGATTCAAAAAGCATAGATTCATAAGAGTTGCAGAAGATAAAAGATGAAGATGACGATGAATGGAATGTAGATGTTAGTAGTGAGGAGTTAGACAAGGGTATTCTATCAAAATAATCAAAAAATAAGGGAAAAAAGAGGAAAATTGACTTATTTCTTTCGTGTCGTAACATTGTAATAAAGTCAGCATCTCAAATTAATGAGAACTATCAAGGTTCATCATCAGACTCCTTCTAAAATAATTAAGCTCTTTCACCACAAGGGTTTTACAGTAAAAATTTCTTAAGCAATGAAAGTCAGTAAAATAGCGCTAATTAACCTATTAAATAACATCCATAAAAAGGAAATAGATATTCCTTTTTCTAGAAAAATCAAGATTAAAACTAATTTAGCGTATAGTAGAATGACAGCGGTAGTGAATCTGAACTTGAGAATGATGTAAATTAAGATGAGGGAAGTTTAAAAATGCCCTCATAATTCAACAAATTTAGCACCACAGAATCTCCATTTTCTGTCAAGAGTTCTGATCATGCTATAAAGGATTCAAATATAGAGGAAAGTCATAGATTAGACAGTAATTAATCAGAGAAAAAATCTTATAAAATGTCTACCTCTAAAGCCTAATCCTCATAATCACTTAGTTTTAGTCGTCAATAAAAAGAAGACTTCTCTTAAAATTATCTAAAGAGGAAAAAAAGCTTTGCATATAGGAAAAGCAAGTTCTATTACCTATCAATTTAAAATTCATGTAAATCATTAGATGAAATAACTGAGAATAATTCCAATTAGTATAATGTCAATATCAGAGACGACTCAGTGGAAGAGTGAAAGATCAAGTTCAGCAATAATGCTAGCAACATCTATTAACCACTATTAAAGTATTCACTCCATTATGAGTAAGGTCTTTAGTACAATATAAATTAAGTGATAAACTAATTAAATATAATTTATATGAACATTTCAATAATTTATGAATTTTTATTTCTAAAGATTGCTTAATTAAAACTAATTGACTTATACATTACATCTATTAGAACTCGGGGTTTTGGGGTTTTGGGGTTTTGGGG